GCGTTTTTCAAAAATGTTGTAATACAGTTAAACTTCGATTAACAGATATTTCAAGGGACGCAAAAAAATATCTGTTAATCGAGGATATCTGATTATCAAGGATTTGAGGGTATTCATTAGAATTATTTCGGGTTTAAAATTTAAAAATCCGTTAAATTAACTGTTATCGCAAAATAAATAATTGTTGATTCAATTGTTTGCGAAGATTTTATAATTGCGGAGATTGTTGACTGCTTGATGTTGAATTGTTTCATGACATTTGAAATTGATTCACCATCATTCTTGACTTTATTAATAATAAGCATTTTTTGCTTATAAGTTCTAGCCTGGTGCTTTACTTTTTTATATGATGCTAACATTTTTAAAAATAAAAAATCACTTTTGGTCTGAATGTGTTCACTTTTTACAAATCATATGAATTTAAATAAAACAATCGTTAAATTTGAATTTTGAGCAACTGAATAACTGAAGACCCCCGATTTTAAATTTTTCAGTTTATCAGCTTATTGAGGTCAGTTTCTCATATGAATTTCACCACCGTTTATCGGGGCATCAGTTAATCGAGGATATCTGATAATCGGGGCAATTCTTCACACAAATTCGAGTGTGTGCCAAAAAATATCCGCTTATCAAGGATATCTGATTATCGAAGTAGCAGCTTATCGAAGTTTAACTGTACCTTGTTGAAAATGACTTTTGATCGTAAAAAATTCAATTAAATTCGACGACAGTTTTATAGACTTTCGTTCTTCTTCATCAAAAAGCGTTTCAATAAATTTACGGATTAAATAAAAAGTAAAAATTTTAAGAGAAAAAGTTTTAAATTTTAAAACAGAGTTAGGAATAAATTCAATTTCAATTTGAAAGAGGTGAAATGCCATCAGAATTATTTTCATGTTTATAAATGGCTTCAAGTTATTTTCACTGTTGTACAATAAATTTAAAAACTTGCTTCGAAAAATTAATCAAAACCAATCTCTGGTAACTTCTTTTAAAAGATATAAAATTTCATTTCTGACTTCAGTTTTGTTGAACAAAGTTCAGTAATGAACTTTTTTTTCTCAACTTGAATTCTTTAAATTTCCATCAAGCGTAATTAGTGCAGTTAATTTCCTTCTTTCTTGGTGGTCTTCACGATCATGCGATTATTTTCTCAATTAAAGTTTAAAGTATTTTGGGAATCTTTTGAATTTCGTTTCACTCTTAATGTTAATTTATGACATGGTAAAGGTAAGAGACGAACATTATGATTAATTGGACTGAAAAGATTCTTATTTCTTTTCTTTCATTCGTTTTAAAGTTGAATAAAGAATTGACGAATGACGAAAAATATTTCTTGAATATTTGAAAAAAGAATTTTTGATGAATTTTGTAACTTAAAACGTTTCTTTTAAAATTCGTTTCGTGCATCAATCTTTCAAGTTTGAAGAAATGATATTTAAGAAATCTTAACACGAACCCTAGAGCGTATGCTAAATCTGGAAACATAAAAATGATAATAAGTAAGTCAGAAACGCTGGTCTTTGCAACGGTATTAGAAACGACAAACTCATCCGATAATAATCTTGTTAACGATACTGAGGATATTTCGTGTTCATCATTTCAATAGGAAGAAACGTGAAAACATCTTAAAGATCATCGTCTTCATGTTTTCTATCTTTTGAGACTCGAATTGAGTTTATGACGAAAGTAAACAAGCAAACATTTACTGTGAGAGTCATCTTTAGTGTCAACAACGTGTTTCAATGAAATTAAATTTCATTTCGAAGAAGACGAAACGCGATGCAGCAGCAACAGCAACGGCAGCAGCAAAAAATCGACACGAAAACGAAGAGATGAAGTTTTAAGCGAACACTTCAATGTTGTCTTCGTTCGTGTTCATTGATATGAGAAATATCACAAAACAAGAAACTTCATTCATAAACGAAAATGTTGTCGTCATTGCTGTTGTCGTTGTTCCTACTTGATGCTACACCATTGACATTTTAAGTTAACTACGACAACGACGATTTCTTATCTTCCAACGGAAATTTCATTGATTTGAGTTTCTCGTTAACAATTTTTTGAATGAAGTCGCGCTTGAGGTTTTTATAGCGAATGACGATGAAATTAATTTGAAAAGTATGAAAAATTCTTCATAAAATTTTATTTAAGTTTGAAATCATTTGAAAGAAAAGATCGCTAAACGAATTCAAGTAAATTATTATCTTGAACGAAGTGATCAGCTTCTGGATCGTCAAACTGAAAGTCGTGTTCATCGTCATAAAATGGCAAGTCGAACCATTGCCAAGTTTTCGCTTTCATCCCATCAATTGTGTATCTGATGCATCGGCGAATGAAGATTCTGAAAAAAGAAACTTTTCCAATACTTTCGTCTTGCGAATGAAGATCGTCACTCACTTTGTGTGAATCTCGTCACATTCAACGATCGGATGTTGTTCTTTGTAGCAACGATCTCGAACGTTAAAGTAGAAGTTGCCGATGTAATTTCCACGCTTTGAATTTGCACTTTGGAGACATTGCTTGAATTCCTTGTCGCATTGACAATGGAGGCGAGTGAAATAATCGTCGTTCTTCAGACCATGTTTCTCTTCACCTGATGCAATGTTGTCACAGTGATCGTGCTGTCGACAACATGCATCGACCTCTTTGTCTTTTCCCAGATCATCGTAGCCATCAGCTGTGTTGCCAGGTCCACACCTGTGTGATCGAATTTTACAATTTTTCTTTTAGCAAAAGACTTAAAATTATTTTTCGTTTACCATTTCGTGCCAGGAAAACTCAAATTAATTCTTTCCTCAGCTTTGCGATTTCGTTCGACTGTTGTTTTACTTTT